GTACTATTTGATCTAAAAAAATCCAACCTGGAAACTTTCTCTCCCCCAGAAAACCCTCTATCCCCAAGCCCCTTTACTAGGTTGGGCAAGCTTTGATGCCCCTACTCTCAAACAAATTCTGTCAACCAAATCCAAACACATGTTGTTCCCAAGGATCAAAATTAAAACAAAACCAACCAAAACCAAAACCAAAATGTTTTCTAATCCAAATCCCACACGTCAAACTCATAATGAGTAAAGGTCTATTTCCTCGCAAATTTCTTTCACCAATGATTGTGAAAGCAGTGTTTTAAAGCCTTATAAGAAAACACATTTATTAATGCCACAGGACATGAAGTTAGAAATTTACTAAGATCTTCTGAAGTAAATATGTTCGGAGTAAATATGTTATCTTTTCATTATTTTAAAAGGAGAGGTAAGGTGCATTATAGTATTTTATTCTAAAATGGTAATCTGAGGATAGTAATAGAAGATACACATAAGGAGAAATACTTGTTAAAAAAATGAACCTCGAGCCTAACTCAACCCCAAAAGCTAGCTCATGAGATGAGGATTGTCCAAGACCATATAAGGAGACCAAGGACCCTAATATCCAACGATGTGGGACAATTAACACCCGTTGCATGCCCAAACCAGGAAACTGGAACGTGGACAAGATAATATGGGACCCCAACATCGAGTGAAATAAGAATTGGGTGGACCTGGCTCTAATACCATGTTAAAGAAATGGAGTTTGGATTTAACTCAACCCCAAAAGCTAGCTCATGAGGTGAGGATTGCCCAAGCCATATTAAGGTAACCACTCATCCCTTAAAGCACAGATGTGGGACTCTTCACAATCACAGACCCCTCACACTCAGGGCTAGACATCTAGAGCGTGGACAATTTAATATGGGGCCCAACATTGGAAAACGAGAATTGGGATGCGTCCTACTCTAACACCATGTTAAAGAAATAGACCTTGAGCCTAATTTAACCCTAAAAACTAGCTCATGAGGTGAGGATTTCCCAAGACCATATAAGAGACCAAGGATCCTAATACCCACTGACGTGGGACAATTAACAATACTAAAACATTTCATTGCTAAAAATAAAAAGTAAAAAAGAAATGTGCATTATTCAAAGATTATTAAATGCTTTTGAGCCCATATTAAGGATGGGTTGGGTACCACGGTTTAAGTACCAAACATTCATATATGAGGTAAGTTAATCTCAAGGTTGGAATATAGATGTGAGTAAATTATCAAGGAGATTTCTCCAAAATCTACCCAAAGGATCTAAAAGCTCTCTAACATGTTGCGGAGCCTTCGGTCGTGAGAGGGTGGATGTAATTCAGCTCGAACGAGGTGAGAGGGGTAATAGACTATTACCGTTCAGTTCATGTGACGAACCGAACATCTGTTAGGTCCCGAATTCTGCGGGACCGCATCTCAATTTGCACATGGATAATGTGCTACCCCTTTCTTTTCTTCCAAACAGTGTTTTGGATAGCGTGCGGCGACAATTAGCGACGAAGGCCCGCTTCACTGAGGCGAGATGCGCGCAGCGAAGCGCTCGCCTTTTTTATGTGAAGCGACAATTTATACAAAAACATAAAATATTATATACATATATAAGACTATAATTCTACTATGTAAGACTATAAGTTAATAATTGAAAAAAAGGCAAATAGAGCCAAAAAAAGGGCCTCAAAGCACCCTCTGTTTCTGAAAAAAGGGCCTCAAAGCAGCCTCTGTTTCTGAAAAAAGGGCCTCAAAGCAGCCTTTATATTTTGCCAAAACAGAGCCAAAATAAATTGAGAAGAAGAAAGATGAAGTGAAGAACCTCTGTATTTTGCTCGAAAATTAGAGCACAAAAACATACCTTTGTTTCTACTCTTTTCGTCAAAAAACAGAGGAAGAAAAAAAGGAAGAAGAAGAAGAGAAGAAGAAGGAGAAAGAAGAAAGAAGAAAAAAATAAGGAAACTCAGAGCTCATACCTAGTCTTTCAATGGCAGAAGCTTGATGAAGAAGAAGATGGCACTTGGAAGAAACCTCAAGATTTGAGATGAAGAAGTTGAAGAAGTTGTTTCGTTCGAGCCCTAATCGCAGTTCCAACCTTTTCTTGTTGTTTTTTGTTCGAAGTTGAAGAAGCTCTGAACTCAAGCCCTAATCGCGACCTGTTATTTTAAGTTTTGCCCCTTTTCTTTTTGTTTTTTTAAAAATAGCGACGCTACAGTCGCTACTCGCTACAGTGTCGCCTCACGCAACACACCCTGAAGCGACCGCTATTTTGAAACGCAATGCAACAGTTGCCCTGTAGCGATACTGCCTCGCCTCGCCTCACGCTATTAGCCCTGAGGCGAGCGCTATTCATAACACTGCTTCCAAACTCGATCGAATACGTCGTGAACCTTTGCGATGGATCGACGAAAGTGCGCCTAGCCAGGAGTGTGGTTGGTGTCACCTCCCATGCGAATTTCGTACTTCTGTCGGATCCTCCCTATCCCGAGACCCATAATCTTTCCTAGGACCAGCTTCTACGACGATAGGCATAAAGGCATGATTAGTTCCACAAATCTCGAGGGGAAGTATCTTATTTCACTTGTCGGATTTGAAAAGGAATTACATAGGATAAAGACTTAACATCACTGTTGTGAGACCAAATTTAACTATTCAAGTGTCAGCCAAAGAGGAAACTATTTTCCTCCGTTTTCTTTAGCCCATTCAGTCATAAACAAACAAATAAGGAAATTTCGAAGCAAACAGTAACCAGTTATGTGAACAAATTATCATTAACATATTCTCAAACTTAGGGGCACTATGAATAATCATAGCCCCACAGGAAAACATCAAGAATACGCCAGTAAGAAAAGAATAACAGACAATCTTAATCATCTAACTGTTTAGCATAGTAATCATAATAAAAGGTTGGTTTGGGCCAGCACTGGAGTTAGATTATGCTCCAGTACAGTTTCAATAGTTAAGATAGACTATTACAGTTTTAATAGTTAAGAACAAACAATCTGAAGCTCAAACCATTAATCCAGCAAAGGCGGTGGACAGTAGTTCATATTTTTATTCATCTTTTAATAAAGTACTAACAAAATCCAAGCAATTCATAACAGAATTAGCCAAACAATGTAAAAGACCTAGACCCAAATGGAATTTAATGTTCAGCCTGTACAAGAGTAATAAGAAAGCAAGTGTTCTTTATTTTACAGGGCATAGAACTTAGAAGTAAATTGTGACAATGATTTTCGTTAGAAGGAAAACACTACTTAGAGCATCCAAAGAAACTACAAGTCCTGAGCAGAATCAAGTCTACATGGGTGGATCTTTAAAAGCTATATATGCAATGGTGGAAGATAAGAAATTAGTCACCCATGCAAAAATGTGGAATATAGAGGAGGGAAGCTAATTTACATCAACATCCATTATTTTGTTTTTAAGAAACTGTTTAAGAAATTATGATCAAATCATTTTTTATGATTGAGCTATGGATGTAAAATAGAACTCAGAAGATCTATTAATTTTAACATAGTGAAAATGATTTTTTAAATGAAACAGAAGTTACATTTCTTTCCAAGTAATATTCATAAATCTCAAAGTAAGGCAGTGAAAGAAGAAGACCATTAATAATTTGTGAGGCACATTTTGCCAATACTTAGCACCCAGCATTTCTTCTAATGAAACAGCTAATACATTAACAACTGGAGATACAACTAGCATAGATCATTTTAAATAAAATGAAAAACAAAGTGCTGCCTGACGCACCTAAAGGATTAAATGAAGGCACATATACTGCCCATATGAGCTCATATGGTAAGCAACCCCCACTTCCAATCGAGAGGTTGTGAGTTCGAGTCTCCCCAAGAGCAAGGTGGGAAGTTCTTGGAGGGAAGGATGCCGGGGGTCTATTTGGAAACAGTCTCTCTACCCTAGGGTAGGGGTAAGGTCTGCGTACACACAACCCTCCCCAGACCCCACTAAGTGGGATTATACTGGGTTGTTGTTGTTGTTGTTGTTGTTGTATGAGCTCATCAGCTAGCACTTACTATTTTCCTAAGTTGCTCGGGCTCTTAACTTTTGGTGCCGCACCCGTGTAAACACAACGTGAGTGTGGGTGTGGGATCCGTAGTGGATATGATCAATTGACTTTGGGTACTTTCACCAAAATTGATGGTGGAACTCGGGACAGATACAATAATTACTGAAATCAAAATAAAAGATAGGGTGAAATGGAAGAAAATGGAATATCTTGTATATAGAAATTTCTATGCCAGTCCTTTCCTTTTATCTCCTTCTCGGATTCTCCTTTGGAAACGTAGAAGGGCTACAAGTTCCAATCAGAAAATGCTTCTCCGTTTTCTTATTAGCTTAGTTCAAATGTTAATGCTCTTCATTCTTTATGGTAATTGAACTTGTAGTCCTTTTCCTGCACTCTACAAGCACCCAAGTTTCCTTATAATGTCTCATAGTTTAGGCATATTTTTATAACTCTACTTTCAGATATTTGAATTATTTTTAGCCGAATTCCCGCACCCTATCCATACCTCCGGAATCTTAAAATTTAGATCATGAAGGATCCAGGAGACTCACACCCGTATCGGACACCCGCACCTGAGTCCGAGCAACTTAGCTATTTTCTCAATTCCAATGCATTTAGTGAAAACGTGCAATAAAGACATAATGCTTCATATTTTCAAAGACATGTATCTGTGATTCAAGAATGTGCCAATTGAATAACTCCTTAGGCCAAATAGACATAAGAACTTACAAGAGAATTCATAATCAGGCAAAAATACACAAAAGGACCGAGGTTTCACTGGACACTAGTTATTTTGCTCATCTAATAGTATGGACCAGCAACTGCACCTTGGAAACCAAGTCAAGAAAAGACACATATTTCATTAAATGAAGGGCATCGTACCAGAGCCATGTATTATCCAGAAAAGTAGCTTACAACAAGTACATTGCTGCCTAGTAAATAGAAGCTCAATACATAATCTCAAGAACTACCTGAACACCAGCATAGTGTTTCCATGCTTTGTCGAGCTTGTAGTCGGTAGAAAGTAGACGATAGTTAGACAACGCAAGCTCATAATCATGTAACATGAAGGCGTAATCACCCAAAACTCTTATTTGCGATTCAATAGAGCTGAAAGTATACCTTGAAAGGCAACCACAAACTTTGATTAGTCATGAAAGAGAAAAATGAAAACAGAACCATGTAACAAACTAGACAAAGGATGAGCCTGCAAACTTACATTGGACCAGCTGGGTTTTCTGGTGTATCTTCTTTCCCCTTTCTCCACCACAAGTTCTTTATTTGGTTTCTAAAACCTTTTCTTGTTGCAGAAACCTGCAATTTAGCACTGTAAGTCACAAAAAACTACAGAAGCAAACAGACATGTTACCATCAACTTCCAAAAATTGGGGGGGAGGGGGGGGGTAGGGGGTACCTGCTGATTGAGAAGACGGATTTTTTGCTCCATATGAGGAATAATATGTTTAGACGCTAGATCTTGTATGAATTTCTCCAGCTGCTCGATTCAACGCATAAGTAAATAATTACTTACATCAAGGAGAAAGATATTAATAACCAGCTATCCTAAGAAAGTACCTCAAAGTTCAGCCATACAAGGTTCAGGAACAAATACCTCATCCAAGTCATCTGAGCTAAGGAAGCAGCGTAACTGCTGGCCATGTGAAATATCAGTTTTCTGTCGGACAGAAGAAGATAATTTTGTTTACTTCATCTAATAGACAAAGATAATAAATCGAATAAATATGATGTGAAAACTAAAAAGGATAAACTCAGGAAGATTATTACAAAAGCAGCCCACAGATTTTCATGTTCTCCTGACCCATCCTTAGAAGAGTTGATACACAGCAAATGACAACAACTAGCCCCAAATGTGCTCCTCATCTCTGCCAAGGTTTTTGTTGCTCTGTAGAAAATACAGAATATAATTAACAGCGACATCATGCGAAATTGAGCTCTATCTTTTTGTAACCAAAAGACCGCCACAATACGACTAAACCATAAGTCTAGAAACAACTTTGATAGTTTGAGAGGCAGTAGGGAAAAGGACTATATGATAGCCCTACAATAGTAGGAACTCCTCTTGTGCCCCTTTTAATAGTTGTGTACTGTATATTAATCCCAAGACTAAGTTTAATGTGAAACCCTTAATGATAGTAGATGAACTTCGCATCAACATGACTTAGAGAGGCTTTGGAACTTGTTAAGTGATGAATGCCATGTTGTGACTGAACAGTGAACACTGACAAGGCTCCTTGTTGTGTTTGAAAGTTATTCAAACAAGGAGATAGCACTTGGGAGATCTAGGAAAAGAAATGAATGACAAGAGACAAGTATCAGAGAGCCGAAGAAGCAAGAAATGACCTGATGGGCAGTACCTAGGTGCTATCTCAGCAATACTGAGGTGCTGAAAAGCAGAAAAAGAAGATTAGCACATGCCAAGTGCTTCAGAGCAGGAAAATTATGCTTCTAAAGTTCTCCAACCGCTAGGCACCACATGCCCAAAGCCTGGTTCGAGGCAGCAGGTGTATGTTGTGGCTGTTGGTCAGTGACTAGGCACTCCAACAACAGCTCCTAGGTGTTGATAAGCATTTTCTAGGTTTCCATTAAAAACGACGACAAAACTGCCTTCTGTCTGTTGCCATGGAATGTATAGGTAGGGATTTTTTAATGCTTGCAAAGCCCGTTGCGCGCTCTCTATCCCCTTTTGGGGGCGTCCCTAAAGAGAAGAGAGTTCAGTCTACAAGAGCCGTTGGGCCACATCCATCTATCCTAAACAGTAACCCTTTCCTTGTTCGGTCTTTGGAGAGGGAGCTAGACGAGTACTTGCAAGAGAGCAACCGGCAGATCTAAAACTGCTATAGTAGAGTAGAACAAAAGTACCTCCCAAAGGTTCTAAGGTTCTACCTTTTCTTGTGCATTTGGGAATAGATAGAAAGTTTCCAAATGAATAAAAGACTCTAGATTGATTGAGTGTAATGTTCATGAGGTTCTACATCATCCTCTTCACCACAAATGATCCACTTGCCTGAAAATGACCTGGATCAATATGGAAATCCCAATTCATTTGGCCTTTCCATACAATCAAATAGAAAGCCCCAAGGGCGCCATATTCTAGGAGCTCAAACTATGGGCTTGAATAAATCCTCCTATTGGCCAAGGGACAAGCCTTTCCATGTCCTATGTTATATGTATATATATGTATATAAGGAGCTCCTAAAAGAGTTTGGAAACATGATTTACTGGAAAGCAACTGAAGGCAAGGAAAGGAGAACTTTTTCTTAAATCTTTCATTAAAATTGAGATGTTAATGGATATCCTTTTGATGCTTTCAGGCTCTATCATAACCTATTTTACGTATTCCAGTGTTGTGATGGAACTCAACACATTTTACTTTATTTGCATTTGTCTTCCTTATCTTAAATGAATGTTAAGAGTTTCTACTCAATCTTGTGCTCGATTTATCTTATTGATTGACCACTGATCAGATTATTCGGCAATTCTATTATTGAACTTAGAAAAGGGTATCTAGGATTGGAATTGAATAACTTAAGTTCAAGAAAGCTACCTCATTAGCTGATTGATATAGATTTTCAGGATAGGTATATACCTAATGGTCTTATGAAACCATAGTTAAGAGTTGAAACTAATGCATCTTTGATGTACTTCCATCGAAAAAATGCATCTTTTATTTATAGGAATAAAGAAAGAGGGTTAAGGACGATAGGCTTGTCAACAACTCAAAAGATACTTGCTAGTATTATAAAGTTCATATCTCAATCCACTGAAGTAAGATTTTGAGGATGCAATTCGTTGAATGAAGTGTTAGAGAAATCACAGTCCTAGATTTTATATTGAATTCCATAACATCGCAACCGCCTTGTCTGTCATTCGGGGTGGACGTCGGGTTCAGTTTGAATTATGAAAATTTAAGGGTTTTTTTTAAGGTAAAGTTTAAATGCGTCTGAATCGGATTTTTTAGAGTTCGGGTTCGAATTTCGGTTTGCTCATTTCGGATTTTCATTTGAACCAATATGTTGGGCTTCTTATTCTTCTAACAAAAAAATGAACCTCCAAATGCTAGTCATGTCAATTTGCCTTAATAAATTCTCATCCCCACCACAATCATCTAGAGATTTGGTAATTGTAACTTTGTAGGTACAAATGCAAACCCTTGATATAAGAAAAGATATTAGAAGAAGAAACATAGAGTAGTAGTAGTAGTAGTAGTAGTAATAATAATAAGAAGAAGACAGTTGTCATTATCCTTTACAAGTTCAGTTCTAAAATAAGTGAAAAGTTTGGGTAGTACCAAAGATTGTCAACCTATTCTTACGTGGGTTGTTGGCATTTACTAATTATTTAAGTTAATATTAGGCTTGGGATTAGGCTAATGTCTAATGGATATGCTTGACTGATTTAGTTGTTAAGGCCTAAGGGCAAAACATAAGGTACAAAAAAAATTAGATTTTTGGATATCTGAAATTTATCACTGCGATTCTGAAATCCGATTTTTTCAAAAAATTAAAACCAAACACCAAACCGTAATTCAAAAAAACGAACCAAAAATCCGAATTTTGGTATTTGACCAACTATTTTTTTGTTTGGATTTCGGTTTTGCCCAAACTATGTTCACCCCTATTTGTAATTAATTTAGTACTTACAATAGATTTAGTTGTTTGAACAAATCCTAGTTGTTGTCCTTAGCAATTAAATTAGTGCCAATTCGTCATGAGACTGCACTAATACTAACTCTATATTACTTGTGTACATCCACGTACACTTATGTGTTTGTTGAGACAACACTAACTTTATTTGAGCCAGTCACAGAAGTATGTTTTGTTAGTTCCAGGTTCAGATAAAAGCATTTATTCTTATTTAGGGAGGTTGCTTCAAACTTCTCAGTCAGTTTAAAATGCCTAGGGTATTTGAGTTTAGCAGTTAATTCAGCATCAGGAATCAGACGCTCAAAACAGACATGCCTGTCTAAACTCCCAAAAAGAACTTGCATCAAAAGTTCTGTAATCTGATTAGAGGCATAAGGTCTCCAAAGAGGTCTAAAAAGTACTCCAGTTGTGTTCAAAAAGCACACACCAACAAAGGCAATAAAGTATGACTTCCCTCATCTTCTTTTTTTCTTGTTTGATGACTATGGCTAACTTCCCTCATTTCAAGCTTCTTCCCGCACAGGAATCCCAGGACTTCCAATGTCTTTAATTTTTGTGTGTCCCTGGCCTTGTGCAACTTAGGGAAATCTTAAGTTACTATTTGAATTCAATACAAGCAGAATTATGAGTTTATTTCATGGTTTCCTTTATAAATCTATGAGTTCTTTGACTGCTAAAAGTTAATGAAATAATTTTTTGCAAGTACAGTAAAGTAAACAAACTTGTTTCTTTATTTTCAAATACTTTCTCGTCTTTCTAGAAACATCTATCCTTTGCTTCACAACAGCATTATTTCAAAAACTAATGCTGATCAAAAAATCCGGCTTTACTAAAGTACTTCAATTTCCACTCCTCAAGATCTGTGATTGCGATGTTAACAATCTCAGTTTTATAAATCACCATGTCAAATTACATTGGACAATTTCAGAAGGAAGGAAAGAGCATCAAACCTTTCTAATGAGGTGTATTCACCATCGTGTACCAATACAAAATGCTTTAGAATTTTTGGATCCATTGCACCATCGTTGAGAAAGGAAGGCAACTGATTAGTGTTAAATAGGTCAACAAATTTGTTGATGGGATCTTCATCCCGCGAAGAAACAGCCAAAAGACCTATATTGTTATCACCACAGAGGTAGAAGCACTGTAAGCTAGAAACGAATATTCAGAGAAGTGAGATGGAACCTCATTTCTAAAAAAGAAAAGAGAAGTGAAAAAGAGGGAGTACAGTGGGGGAAGTGACTCAAGAAAGTGTCAGAAAAAAAAAGGCAGCTTACATGTCACAGGATGGTCAAAAGCTTCATGTTCTGAAAAGGAGACTGTATGTACTAGCTCATTGTTGAAATATTGGAACCATGACGGTAGGAACTCGTTTTGCGAAGCTACATCGGAACAGCATCGGGGATTTAGTCCAACAAAATTCCATACTTCCAGACAGAAAATTCTTTTAACTCCAAACCACAGAAAGTAAACCAATTGGTTATGGACTACAAATACAGCAAAAAACTAACTGGCCAGTATCAAAACCGCAAGTTATAAATCTAGCTGTCCACAATGAATTGTAATCTTGCTAGGCCTATGATTTATCTGTTGATACACTTTTGTTAATAATAAACTTGGAGATCACATATCCTTCTTTTTTAAGATGAGAAAGACTTTAACAAGTTTAATGTAGTGGGAAAAAAATTACAGTTGAGCACAGTCTCAATTTCCAGAGGTTCTGAACATAAGTCAGAAAGATCTTTCTCTCCAGCATCAGTGATAACTTGGTTTAACCGCTCCTTTGCAACCTTGAGAAGAAAACATGTCAGTTCTAAAGCAATAAGCTTATAAAGAAAAAAGATATCATCATTCAGTTCTCAGGTCGCAGAAACCAACAAATAGAACATAAACTGAATACTTTAACGTATTGCCCTCAACAGAAACAAAGTTGAATGGAATAGGCCAATTTGACAAGAAAGTAAATCAAGGGGGAATGTAACCCAATATTTTCTTCGTAACACTAATTCCTTCAGAATACTACTCGCAGAAAATTTCTTACTAAATCCAATGCATGTTTTGAATGAAGGGGCCACTTGGAGGCTTGAAACTTGAGAATCTGTCTAAAAAAAGGTTATAAACTTTTCTGACCCAAAAGAGATGTAGACATTTCTAGTAATGCAATACTTTACTCACTTTTTAAGATACTCTACATGAGTGACATTCTAGTCATGTTAAGATGTTCATACATAGAGCCCTAATAGGATAGGTCTGTTTGTTATGCTTTCAAGAATCTTCACTTTATCAGGTCAAAACTTGGTTCCAAAGCTTCAAGAGTCTTTCTTGTGTTTACTAATAAGGTCCTCAAAATGTATCAAGGTTGAACTAGTTCTCTAAGTCATGATTTTCTCTAAGTCCTAATGTTTTATCTATGAAGCCCAATGTTCTATTCCAATGGGTAGTAAGAACTGCCTTTGCAGAATGTGAGGTTACTGAGGTTAAANTATATTGCAACTCTTCTCAATTTAACCCTCCAAATTCCCAAGGATCAAGGCAATAAGTGCACCCAAATCCAATTAATTTTTATTTTACCTAATGTACAAACATAGAGAAAGATGGTTTATATTTTGGATGAGGAGAATACTCTTTGGAGGGAGGTGTTCCGGAGAAATACGGGGTTTTCAAAGGGGGGCGGAGGATTAAAAATATTACACTTCCCTACGGATGATGTTTATGGAGCAATATATTGAAAGGGTGGGAAGAGTTTTTTGGGAATATATCATTTAGGATTGGTGATGGGAGTAGAGTAGGCTATTGGGGACACAGATAGGATGGAGGTAACATTTTGAGTATCACTTTTCCTTAAGTACACAATTTCATGCCAAAAGAAGATGTCAATTCAAAGCATACGGAGGCTGCTAGATGGAGAAACACATTGGGATTTGACATTTAGGAGGAACTTGCAAGATTCGGAGATCGTAGAGTTCCAGAGAATAAGAGATTGATGGAGTTGCTCCATTAACAGAATATTCCACACAATAGCCATGATGCTTAGAGTTTTTTTTTTTTTGGTGTGTGTGTGCGTGTTGG